TATTATCCCTCCAAGTTGTGTCATATGCCTTCTCAAGGTCAAAAAATAGGCAAAAACCCCTGAGTGGTTTTTCCCCAAAAAGGCATTACGAACAAACTTTTTCCAACCCGTAGTAAGGGTCAAAGGTAGAACGTCCCTTACAAAACCCCATATTGAGGGTGGAGAGACTGTTGTTTGCCCTCTAAATACCACACTAAAAAGTCTATTTAAATAAAGGGGTTCCAAATTTCTTTGCAAACGCACTGGTTTAAAAGCAATGGGACCATATGGGGGGTTTCATGTCCCGTAGTGCCTGGTTTTTCGTAAAGGGAAACAATGGCGATTTTCACAGCTGGGAAGAACTCCTTGTGACCAAATAAGATTTTGTAAAAAAAGGGGAATTTGGAAATGCAAGGGCTGACCCGATGTAAAAGTTGACATAAAGAAAAGAATGTCGTCCGGGGCCCCCTGCCGAAGATCGACAACTGAGAGTGTTGCCTCCTTCTTGAAGTGAAAAAAGGGACATTATACTGTTCTTCTCTGAGAGAAGAAAAATTTTCCCGGGGGCCAAACCCCTCTGGCAGACTTTTAGGAAAGAAATAGGGGGATAGATGGAGTCCCTTTGAAATACGGACCCGATGATTGCCAATTTTTAATGGTTTAAAATCTATTTTTGGGGTTTGGGAAAATCAAAAACCGGGAACCCGCAGAACAGGAGCCGGGGCAGGAGAAATTTTCCCCCTCATTTTTTGGGACTTTTTTCCAGACTGCAAATCATAAGGAAGCAGAGGTGATGGTGGAGACCCTAATCCGCCAGCAAAATGCGTTTAGCAAAACAAAGGATGACACGGCGACGATTTGCACGCTTCTGTTTAAAAAACAAGGTCTCTCGTGGGTTTTTTTAATTTTACCCGGGAACCTGCCCCCCTGCAGCACGTTTCAAATTTTACTGCAACGAGCACCAAACAGGAGACCACCAAGGCAAAGCATTTCTTTAGAAAGCCTGCCCCAAGTTTGGGTTAAAAATGAGAAGCTGCGGTGGGAAAAAGGAGGACGAGAAAAGGGGAAAAACCCCATCGATGGAGGGCAAAAGGAAACCCCTTTTAAAAAAAAAGTAGGGTGAGTAAGGTTTTCCCAAATTTGGGCCCGGTTTTTAATTTTCCACGTGGGGGGGCGAAGAGGTGGCGAATATGAAGGGGGAAATAAGAATGATTGGGGAAAAGATCACTGTCATGTAAGTCCGGGGGAACAGACCAAGTGAAGTCTAATGCGGCGGAGGAAGAGCAGACTGAGAGATCGAGCAAGAGAGAGTATGATTCCGAGGATCAAAATGGGTGTGAGTACCTGTATTTAAAACATGGAGGGGGTGGGTGGCAAGAAAAGCCTCTAACTGAATTCCACGGGAATCACAGTGAGACCCCCCCCCCAGAGGAAATGGTGGGCATTAAAATCACCAAGTAACAGAATCGGTGGCGGTAATGACGAAACAAGGAAGGCAATATCCGGAATAGATAATGCCCGAGAAGGAGAGAGATATAAAGAACAGAGCGTATACCACCTATGGAAGTGGATAAAAATAGTCCGTAAACGGAATACCTCAATATGAAACTGGAAGGTCATGTACTGCTGACCGTGCAGCAGTGTCTGCCTGTTCATTGCCCTGTATGTCAACATAACCAGGGACAACCGGTCCTAAGTCGAAATGGATGTGTTGAACCTTACTACTGAATATCAACATCACATTTTTGTAATGACTTTATTTTATTGTTTTATTTTGGTATTTAATTTTTTTTTTTTTTTTTTTTACTTTTTATGCTGTTAGTACTGTATTTTATACTGTAAGGTTTAGGATAAACACTGTGTACAACACAAACACTTGTTTATTTCCCAGAAATTTGGCATACAAAACATGGTCGTAAGTCGAATGGTCGTATGTCAAGCAGGTCGTAAGTCAGATGGTAGGTGTATATCGCAGGTACGTGCGGACATCTTCACTGGCTTTGTAAACAATGGCACACTGGCTGGTACACGGAGTGAGTGGCAAGGCGCCTGCTCAGGCCATACAGACACATTTGGGACGAAAGCCCTTGGCCGAGTTATTTGGCGTTAGCTAAGCCAATATTTTTATACCAAAGCAAGCCATTAGCCGATTTTGGCGTTAGCCAAAGCCGCCATTAGTCGAGGGTCCATTGTATAACTGACAACTTGTTGCTCGAGTGGGTTGAATAAAAAACAAAGCAAGGTGCATCACTTAATTAGTTTCATTTTAAATTAGGGAAAAGGCCTTACAGTTGTTTAAAGCAGTGTTTAATACGGAAGAAAGACCTGAAAAAGAGGGTATGGTTATCACAAGCTGCTTCCACAACTTTAAGTTACATAATATTAAGTTTTCTTGTGCAAGTGCTTCAGTTGATCATACAGTAGCAAGTAATTTCCCTGCTGAATTGCAGGAAATTATTTCTGAGGGTGGCTATGAGCCACATCAAGTGTTTAATGCTGATGAGACAAATGTTTCATTGAAGAAAATGCCAACAAGAACTTATATCAGTCAGCAAGAGAAAAGTACACTGGGCTTCAAGACAGCAAAGGATCACTTCACCTTGTTCCTTTGCAGTAATGCATCAGTTGATTTCAAGTGTAAGCCATGGTTATTTACCACTCTAAGAATCCGTGTGCTCTGAAAGGTGTATATAAAAACACCTTACCAGTAATTTGGAGGTCAAACCAGTTAGCATGGAGGACAGGAAATATTTATTGACTGATTTAAGCATCACTTTATTCCTGAAGTCAAGTTTCACCTGCACAGCAATAACCTTACAATCAAGACTCTCTTCATTCTTGATAATTCCCGTACTCATCCACAAGCTTTGCTGGATGTGATCCCACATGTAAAAGTTGTATTTTTACCTCCAAATACAACATCTTTAATACAACCACTGGATCAAGGAGTGAAACTACACAAAAAAAAGTTATGAAAAAACTAGTTGCATTAAAGGACTCTGACTCCAACCTGGCATTACCAAGTTTCTGGAATAAATTTAACATTGCAGATGCCATCAGCTATTCTAGAAGTGCCTGGAATGAAGTGCCCCAATCAACATTAAAAGCAGTCTGGGAAAAGTTATGGCCTTGTGTAATTAATTCTTTCACTGGATTTCCCTTGCTTGAGAGTCAGGTTCAGGCAATTTTGTTGAGCTGGGAAGGAGATAACCAGGTGATAGTTTTGAAACATGAAAAAGATGTGAATAGTTTTAGAAGATGATGTTATAAATAAAGACGGGAGTAGGGGAAATGTTGGCAAGCTCAATCAAAGATAAAAGGGGCCAATAACAGAAGTGAAGAAGAACCTGAAAAAAACAGTTAACATTGCAGCATTACATCACATTCCATTTTGCTGCTAAACAACAACCTTCATAAGGCCCCCTGAAAATCAGAATAGTGCTTTGAAATGGGGTCTGACCAATGATGATCCCTTACCAAACAGCTGAAAACTTACTCAAGGGTAAAAACCCAAGATCCATTAAAAAAAATTTATGCCCCCTCCAATATAACCAAACTTTAGTCCCAAAATTTCTACCTTTCCACTTCTGCCGACAACTAACACCCATCCACCTCAGCCCAGTAGGGTTAAACCCACTGTCTTCACAATCACTGACATGCACCAGCAACCACAATTTAAGGTAAGAAATGCTAATATTTCTGTCTTAAGCAGTAAAAACATATCACGACAATGAACTACAATTACATATTCACTTTTATTTTTGTAAAATTTGTTGGATTAAAGAAAAGTTGTTTGCCTTTTTGGGGGCTCCCAGGAACATAACCCTATTTTTTTCACAAGTTCTTCAGTTTATCTAACACAGCATTTTCAGGAACTTAACTATGTAATACAGGAAACGTTTCCTCAATAAAGATACCCAAGAGTTGCACATGTGTCTAATTTACCAACGTGTCGGTTCTCTGAACCATTCATCTACAATACAATGGTCTACTGTATGAATAAAGATCTGAGAGTTTGACATAATGGTACAAGAAGTGTACTTTTATTAAATGTTTCATTGGGAAAAGGAGTGCATGAATGCAATAAGCAATAGTCCAAGATGGGATGGATAACAGCAAAGTGCAATTTTCGTTCATGTAAACACACAGGAAAACTGGGAGAGCAACACCTGAAGCTAACCCTGATTAAGTGAGACCTCTAATATTACACTCAAGTAAGTCATGTCTAGACTGTAAGGGTCAGTAAATTCTACATGTGGAGACAGAGAGGAGGTTGGTTACAGGATGGATTGTTAGGATCAGGTGCACCACAGACAGGGCATTCTGCCAATGACCTGTAATATTTTGCTGGGTGGGCAAATTGCCACAATTTCTACATGGTTATTTCTACACTGTTATTCCCTGGAGTGAAGGCAAGATAATATACACTTGGAAAATCCTAGAGGGATTAGTACCAAACTTGCAGATAACAATCACACCCTATGAAAGCAAAAGACTCGGCAGAAAATGCAACATTCCCCCAATTAAAAGCAGGGGCTCCACAAGTACACTCAGAGACAACACAATAAGTATCCGGGGCCGATGATAGATCATCTGCCTCCCAGCATACATAAGGGGAATTACCAATAGACCCCTGCCTTCAGTAAGGCACTAGACAGGCACCTAAAGTCAGTACCTGACCAACCGGGCTATGGTTCATACGTCAGTTTGTGTGCGGCTAGCAGTAATAGCCTGGTTGATGAGACCCTGATCCACCATGAGGCGTAGTCTCAGTTTGAGACACAGGGGCATTGACCCCAAAGGTAAATTGTACATTGTACTTGTAAGTGGTATTCTGCTAATATAAACAGATGATAGAACCTGGAGTTTACCTGGAGAGAGTTTCGGGGGTCAACGCCCCCGCGGCCCGGTCTGTGACCAGGCTCCTGGTGGATCAGCGCCTGATAACCAGGCTGTTGCTGCTGGCTGCAAAGCAAACCAACGTACAGCCCAGCCCGCTGATTCAGGAACTGACTTTAGGTGCTTGTCCAGTGCCAGCTTGAAGACTGCCAGGGGTCTGTTGGTAATCCCCCTTATGTGTGCTGGGAGGCAGTTGAACAGTCTCGGGCCCCTGACACTTATTGTATGGTCTCTTAACGTGCTAGTGACACCCCTGCTTTTCATTGGGGGGATGGTGCATCGTCTGCCAAGTCTTTTGCTTTCGTAGTGAGTGATTTTCGTGTGCAAGTTCGGTACTAGTCCCTCTAGGATTTTCCAGGTGTATATAATCATGTATCTCTCCCTCCTGCGTTCCAGGGAATACAGGTTTAGAAACCTCAAGCGCTCCCAGTAATTGAGGTGTTTTATCTCCGTTATGCGCGCCGTGAAAGTTCTCTGTACATTTTCTAGGTCGGCAATTTCACCTGCCTTGAAAGGTGCTGTTAGTGTGCAGCAATATTCCAGCCTAGATAGAACAAGTGACCTGAAGAGTGTCATCATGGGCTTGGCCTCAGTTCACATTTGTGGAGAAATTTTCTCCAGGAGGGGGGTATCAGCCCCTTCAGCCCTGAGGGGCCCAGCCCTCTCAGAAGGGGCAAGCATCTTGTTTACTGCTACAGCAAGTAATTGATCCCAGATGTAGTACAAGTATGTGACGTGGTCAAGCAGCCGACACTCCTTGCAGTCCAGTGTTGCAAAGTGTAGTTTAATAAAAGACAGTCCATCTCTTACCTTAGCAGGACAATTAAGGAAAATCCTGCTCCCACTATTATTACCATGGTAAAGATAGTGTACATTGTTGTCCAGCTTAAGACAGCAAGAATCAAACATTCTGCTTTGCTTCATGGAGGAAGTGGCAAGGAAGAAAAAGTACTAGGTCAGCTTTTCCTTTATGTGCGAGAGGCAATGACGGCGTGGGGCATTGTGAGGTCAGATTACTTTTGACTCTACTGAGAGTCACACTGACGCCAGGATAACCAACAAAGAACACTGATCCGTGCGTTAGTGTGAACAAAGTGTCTCACAAAACACAATAAACACTTACAGAGAAGTGTGATCAGCTTCTTCAGTGATAAGATTGTGAACAATAAAGACAAATCTTGTGGAGCATAGTGTACCAGTGTGCGTATTCCTAGATTATGGAAGACGTGGACATCCAAGGACACTTCAGCTTCTATCAAGTCACCGATATCTGTCGAAGGTGTGAAGAACACCATAGCTCACGCTACAAGAGCAAGGTGGGTTACTTATTTCTTGTAGTACGGGGGACTGCGCAGTCCTTGTGTCGCAAGGAGTTTGTAATCAACCTATAGTCGGCAGTGAGGTGCGGACATTTGAGTCCACACAAGTACATAAGTCAGCCATCAGTGAATGAAATATGCTGACATAACACCCCCTAGGGGTAATTTATTGTTTACATAATATAATTCATTTCAGCCCGTTGAGAAGTGATCTTCGACAGCTTCTCAAGACCTCGTCTGCAGGGGCGGCTGTGCAGGCAATGAGCTGTCTTTCTAAGCTAAGTTTTCCCTATATTTAAACTATAAACTTAGCTGGTAAACCATTTCTCAACAACATTAGTCATAAGTTAACTTGGCTATAATACAAGATTAGTCTGTCCAGGGGCAGGTAGTACATAAGTGTCAACTTTAAGAATTGGAAGGTCATGGAGCTCTAGCAGCTCCATAATGTCTGCATCACACATTAGGAAACCATTTTAAATAATGGTACGTTGTAGTTCAGCTGCAAGAATTGAAATGTTTATGAATTGTAACAGCAGCATTGTCAATACTGGTAAGAAGAGAGAAGTTATGAGCTTGCCCAGCATTTTGCACTTTGACAACGTGCACACTACTTTTGTTGAGAACATTAAATACTTTTATCCAATACACAAATAACCCGCACATAGAAGAGAGGAGCTTATGATAACGTTTCAGTCTGGTTTGGACCATTTACAAAGTCACACTGACTTTGTAAATGGTTAAAGTTGGACCGAAGCATCATCATAAGCTCCTCTCTCCTATGTGCGGGTTATTTGTGTATCGTTCCAGTCACGGCACTGTGCCTTTTTTTGTTACTTTTATTCAACATGGCCTTGCTGATACCATGGCCTAAAATTTCTCCGAAAAAGATATTTTTTGTTAGTGCTTCTGTTGTTTACTGTGTAATATGCTCCCATTACCTTCTGGCTTTCAAGCAGACCCAAAAAAAGCTTCCCTACCTTAACCCTTTCATTGTCGAGACCCCAGTTCACAAATTTGCTCAAAGTGTCAAAGAATTTAAAAAAAAAAAAACTTATGATAGAGAATCTTTTCCTGATGGCAATGAAAATAAAAATATGAAATTTAATGTAAAACTTACAGAATTACGTTCTCGCAAAGTCAGCGGTCTCAGTGATATTTACGCATCGGCAATTCTGCCCACTTTGAGCCCCATTTTTGGCCAATTCCTTTGTTACAGTTGATCAAACTCATAGCTATTTTGCTAGAACTACTCTTGTTCTATTGATTGAGTACAAGAAACTGCCCATTTACAGATTCCAACTACCCAATAAAGTGATTTGAAATTGGTAATTTTGCCAATTTCATACAAAATTCAAGAAAGGCCAATTTCAAAATAGGGTCCATAATTAACAATGCAAACATTTCTAGCATTAAAATGACATTTTCTCAGTTCATTAGTCACATCTCCAGGGCCCTCTTATATTTTGCTTGCTTTCCATTTTGAACTTTTTTCACAAAAAATAGAATATTTACTGTTATGCAGACTACTGCATTATTGTAAAAATAGAATAACTAATATCAGCACATTTGTGAAAGCCTTGCAAACTCACCAGTTGATGTGTATTGGACACATGACGTGATTTGTTTTCTCTTGAACATCGGCAAAAATTAAACACTTTTGCCACTTTGAGGTGAATTTCAAGGTACTTTAATTCTGCAAACTATTCAAAATCATATCAATTTCTGTAGTATATCTTCCATTCTATCAAGTGAGATCAAGAAAACGAGAATACAACCATAAATACCATATGAAAATACACAGGAACAACACAGTCAGTTTTTTCTCATTATGCACTGCAAGCTGCAAGTTTTTTTTTACTGCACATACTGACCACTGAGACCCATTCTCTCATATGTAGGCCTATCAGCTTTCTCTCACAAGATTGGAAGCCACTAGAATTTTGGTGTAGTATTACAGGACTGACACTGACTTGCAAGCCATAATATTATGGGACCAACAGTGAAAGGGTTAATATCAGTGTTGGTAGTGGAAGAAATATTAGCGTATGGCACATGACACCCCCTCTGACAAGGTTTTCTCTCCTAGTATGACTTCTCATGTGACTTTCTAAATTAAATCTTTTAGAAAAGTCTTTCAGACATTCTGAACATTGATATGGCTTCTCTCCAGTATGAGTTCTCATGTGTCTTACTAAGGTTGATTTTTCAGAAAAGTCTTTCAGACATTCTGAACACTGATATGGCTTTTCTCCAGTATGAGTTCTCATGTGACTCACTAAGATTGATTTCTGAGAAAAATCTTTCAGACATTCTGAACACTGATATGGCTTCTCTCCAGTATGAGTTCTCATGTGACTCACTAAATGTGATTTTTGAGAAAAGTCCTTCAGACATTCTGAACACTGATATGGCTTCTCTCCAGTATGAGTTCTCATGTGTTTTTCTAAACCATGTTTACTAAAAAAGTCTTTCAGACATTCTGAACACTGATGTGGCTTCTCTCCAGTATGAGTTTTCATGTGTCTTACTAAATGCGAGTTTTGAGAAAAGTCTTTCAAACATTCTGAACAGTGATATGGCTTTTCTCCAGTATGAGTTCTTGTGTGTCTTTCTAAATCTTTTTTCTCAGAAAAGTCTTTCAGACATTCTGAACATTGATATGGTTTCCTTCCAGTATGAGTTCGCATGTGTTTTTCTAAACCATGTTTATTAAAAAAGTCTTTCAGACATTCTGAACACTGATATTGCTTCTCGCCAGTATGAGTTCTCATGTGTCTTACTAAATATGGCTTTTGAGAAAAGTCTTTCTGACATTCTGAACACTGAAATGGCTTCTCTCCAGTATGAGTTCTCATGTGTCTTTCTAGACCATGTTTATTAACAAAGTCTTTCAGACATTCTGGACACTGATATGGCTTCTCTCCAGTATGAGTTCTCATATGTCTTTCTAAACCATGTTTACTAAAAAAGTCTTTTAGACACACTGAACACTGAAGTGTTTTTCTGCCTATGATAAACCTGGTCTGATGTCCACACTGAGGTTGTTGTGAAGATTGTCTGAGTGATGAGTGTGACTCTTGATATAAGTGATCTTCTACATGAACAACTGTACATTGTGTTGCCTCAACACACTTTTCAGGTATTTTAGACATAGTGAACAATAAGTTCTCACATATTTAAACTGTTTAACCAGGGGATATTTGAGAATATTTTATTATAGAAAAAACTAATATTCCTGTATTATTCTATTATTTTACATATAGCAAGCACTATACATGTATGGGTAATATTGTCTGAGGAATAGGAAGGATGACTCTAGCAGATATTTATGACACATTAACCTTTTGACACTGTTATCGGTACTCTATTAATACTAGTTACTGTCACTATTAACACTGTAATTAGTGTTGTCACTGTATTAACACTGTGGTTAATGTTGTCACTCTATTAACACTGTGGTTTGTGTTGTCACAATATATACATTATAGTATTTACAGAACTTAAAGGAATTTTCTGATACTGATGCTGGTATTACAAGTGCCACCTTCTTGTACCAGGATGACCTGCAATATTGACACTACAAGTACCACCTTTGCACCAGGATGACCTGCAGTATTCACACTACAAGTGCCACCTTCTTGTACCCAGATGACATGCAATATTGCCACTACAAGTGCCACCTTCTTGAACCAGGATGACCTGCAGTATTGGCACTACAGGTACCACCTTCTTGTACCTGGATGACCTGCAGTATTGACACAACAAGTACCACCTTTTTGTACCCAGATGACCTGCAGTATTTGCACTACAAGTGCCACCTACTTGTGCCAGGATGACCTGCAGTGTTGACACTACAAGTGCCACCTTCTTGTACCAGGATGACCTGCAGTGACACTACAAGTGCCACCTTGTACCAGGATGACCTGCAGTATTGACACTACAAGTGCCACCTTCTTGTACCAGGATGACCTGCAGTACTGACACTACAAGTGCCACCTTCTTGTACCAGGATGACCTGCAGTATTGACATTACAAGTGCCACCTTCTAGTACCAAGATGACCTGCAGTATTGACACTACAAGTGCCAGCCTCTGGTATCAAGACGACCTGCAAAATAAAATTAAAATTTATGACCTTTTATTATAATCCAAATAATTCTAATTAACCCTTTCAGGGGTCGGTCCCATAATATTACGGCTTGAGAGCCAGTGTCGGTCCCGTAATACTACGCCAAAATTCTAGCTCTTTCAAATCTTGTGGAAGAAAGCCGGTAGGCCTACATATGAAAGAATGGGTCTGTATGGTTATTGTGTGCAGTATCAAAAAAATCCTGCAGCATGCAGTGAATAATGAAAAAAAAAATCTGATCGTGTTTTTGGTTTAAAACAGCAACTTTGTGGTGTACTGTCATATGGTATTTATGGTTGTACAGTGGAACCTTGACTTACAAATTTAATACGTTCTGTGACCTAGCTTATAACTCAATTTGCTTATATATCAAATCAATTTTCCTCATTTAAATTAACTGAATAGCCATTAATCCATTCCTTCACTCTAGAGGCAAGAAAAAAATACTTGAATATGATGCTATTATCAACTACACAGCTTATTTATCTATCACAATTCATCTAATATGACATAATAAACAACATAAGTAACACAGAAACATGATACATACTCTAGAATAAAATAGGCCATAACATGGTGGAAGAGGTAGTGGCACAAGGGCCTGCCATTTCCTGTCCCATATTGGCTATAGTATCTTCCCATGCTCTTATTGTAAGAGAAAATGGAGTACATGTATTTTTGAGGCTAACTGCAGTAGTTTTCTAAGGAAAACACTGAAACAATGTATTTATAAATAAGAAATATTGTATATAAAAACATAATAAATTATAATACACTACAGAATGTAAAGAAATATTAAACTGTTTATATAAAGTGTATATGTACTTATACACTTGGAGCAAAGATGGTGGGGGGGATGTTGAGGGTAGGGGAAGTTGAGGGTGCTGTGGCGTATGATGTCAGTGGCCCTGTAAACCTCCAACAACAACATTGTTTTGTTTAATCACTGAACATAACTGATACAGCTTTAGTATCTACATATCGTAGATGTACTAAGCTGGTATTGCCTGGCTAAGTCCATGGAAAATCATCGTCTTTTTGATGAGATTAAGACACATGTGCAACATCTGGGTATCTTTATTGCAGACGTTTCGCCATCCAGTGGCTTTATCAATACAAATTCTAGGACATAACTTGAAGACAGTAGAACTATGTTCTACTGTCATAGTTCTACTGTCTTCAAGTTATGTCCTAGAATTTGTATTGATAAAGCCAGAGTTATAATTGAAAGAATTAAGAGTAAGACGGAGAAAGGATAGCAGATGAACAAGGAGGCTTTAGGAAAGGTAGGGGGTGTGTGGACCAGGTGTTTACAGTGAAACATATAAGTGAACAGTATTTAGATAAGGCTAAAGAGGTCTTTGTGGCATTTATGGATTTGGAAAAGGCGTAAAGACAGGGTGGATAGGGGGGCAATTGTGGCAGATGTTGCAAGTGTATGGTGTAGGAGGTAGGTTACTGAAAGCAGTGAAGAGTTTTTACGAGGATAGTGAGGCTCAAGTTAGAGTATGTAGGAAAGAGGGAAATTTTTTCCCAGTAAAAGTAGGCCCTTAGACAAGGATGTGTATGTCACCGGGGGTTTTTAATATATTTATAGAGGGGGTTGGGTAAGGGAAAAAGTAAATGCGAGGGTTTTTGGCAAGGGGGGGGGGAGTTAAAAGATAAAGAATCAAAAACACAAATGGGGGTTTCACAGCTGCTCTTTGCCGATGACACTGTCCCTTTGGGAGATTCGAAGAGAAGTTGCAGAGTTTGGTGGATAATTTTGGGTAGGTTGAAAAAGAAAAAAATTAAAGTGTTACAGGAAGGAAGGGTTTATGAGGATAAAAAAAAATTTAGGTGATGAAAGATTAAATATAAATTGGGGGGAGAGATAGGAGGGGTAACGTATAAATATTTGGAGGGGACGTTCGCGGATGGTCTATGAAAGGAAGGTGAATCATAAATTTGTGAGGGAAAAAGATGAGGGGGTTGCACTTAGGAGTCTGTGGAGACAAAGAATTTTGCCCTTGGGAGGCAAAGAGGGGATGTATGAGAGTAAGTTTTAAACCAACGCTCTTATAGGGGTGTGAAGCGGGGGAGAATGTTGCAGCGGGAGAAGGCTGGAGGCAGGGGAGAGGGCATGTTGGGGGCTGTGGGGTGTGAATATAATCAGAAATTCGTATTTTGGGAAAGGGGAGGAGGGCGGGTTTACCAAAACTTTTGTCCGGGGCTGAGGAAGGGTTTTTTGAGGGGGGTCGGACTGTAGAGAAAATGCGAAACAGAATGATTCAAGAGTGTATCATCTGTAGTGGAAGGAAGGCGGGGAGGGGCGGCCTAAAAGGGGGTTGGGGGGAGGGGGAAAAGGGAGGTTTTGTGTGCAGGGTTTTGGACTTCCACACATGCGTGACGTGTTTTTATAGGGTGAATGGAGACAAAAGGTTTTTAAAAAAATTGACGTGCGTTGGAGTTGACAAAGTAACATTTATGAAGGGATTCGGGGGAAAAGCAGGCCGACTTGAGTCCTGGAGATGGGGAAAACAGTGCCTGCCTCTGAAGGAGGGGTGTTTTTGTTGCAGTTTTTAAAAAATGTAGTTAAAGCACCCCTTCTGGCAAACAGGGGTGGAGTAATGATGGTGAAAGTTTTCTTTTTTTGGGGCCACCCGCCTTGGGGGAATCGGGCCCGGTGTGAAATAAAAAAAAAAAATTTAAAAAAACACTGGGTGGGAAATGTCTGCAATAAAAATACCCAATTTGCACATGTTTTATTCATCTTGTCGGTATTATTACCATTGACCTCGCTTTTTCTCTCAGCACTGTCCTTTGCACTTATTTTCTTAGAAGCCATTTTTAAAAAAAGAAATTTTGGCCCAAATGACTCAAAAAATGCAAGCAACGGGGGAGAAATGCTCCCACATGATGTTTAACGGTACTCTTACCAAGGGGTTTGGCACGCGGCCAACTCGGCCTTTTGAAATTATTATTACTTACTATTATGTATTTTTATTTTAACTTTATTAATTTTAAATTTAGGGTAAGCCTATCATTTTATAATTTTATTTTTTTATTTTTTTTATTTTTTTGGGAAAGGCTTTTTTTTTTATTTAAATTTTTATTTTTTATTTTTTTTTAAAATTTTTTTTTATTTTAATTTTTATTATTTATTATTATTTTTAAATTTAAATTAATTTAGGGAACTGAAGTTTTAATAATTATTTTTGAAAATTTAAAAAAATTTTAAATAATTATTAATATTTTGGAACTGGAGCCCCGCCCAAATTTCCCCTAGATAAAGGACCCCTCCCCCAAATTTGTAAAGATTCCTTGACATGATATTAATAAAAATTAATAATTATTATAATAATTATTTTTATTAAAAAAAATAATAAATGCCGCCAACTCAGTGAAACTTTTTTACTTGCTGGGGAGCATTTCTCTAAAGTTTTTGCTTCATTTTTGACAGTCTTTTGGGCCCAAAAATTTTGTTTTTCTAGCGTGGGTCCTACAAAGTGGAAGGACAGTGCTGAGAAGAAAAGAGGATGTTTCCATGAAATTAAAGCTGAAATGTAGTTTAAAATAGCGAGGGGCCGGGTTTTTGGGTTGGGGGGAAGCGGGGGGAGGGGGTTTTTAAACTAAAAATTTTGGCTCAAAAATTAGAGAAAAAAAACTAAACCCACGACAGCTCGTATCTAAAAAACCCTTTTCTTTGGGGACACTCGTAAGTAAAGGGTTCCACTGTATTCCTTTTTCCTGGTCTAAATTTATAGAAGGGAAAAGAAAAATTATAAAATGAAGAAAATTTTTGATTGGCTTATGATTTTTAAAAGTCCCTTAAAATTTTTGACTAAAAAAGTAGCAAAAATTTTTAAAAATTTTTGCCGTTTTTCCCGAGAAAACAAATTTAACTTAAATGTCCAATACATGAAAAGCGGGCAATTCTAAAATGCGCGCCAAAAAAGGGGTTTGACATTTTTTTAATACAATTTTATAATAATGCATTAGCCCGGCTTTCAAAAATAAAATTTCTATTTTTGGTGAGAAAAAAAAATTAAAAATTGGAAAACAAGAGAAATTTTTTTAAGGGGGGGCCCTGGGACAAAATAAACAGAAAAATTTTTTTTTAATTTGCCGGGAATGTCTGCCCTTTTTTATTCTGGGCCCTATTTTAAAACCCGGGCTCATTAAAATTTTGTTTTAAAATTTGGGCCCAAATTCCCAAATTTTTCTGCCCCACATTTTTGGGGTATTTTAAATCGGGGGGGGGTTTGGTTTCTTGATAAAATCGTTTAAAACTAATGGAGCTCAAGAAAAAAGCATGATTTTAGTAAATTTGGAACTTTGGAAATTTTGGCCAAAAATAAGGCTAAAAACGGGGCGAAGTCCCGTCCCTAAATTTTCATCGAGCCCATTTACTTCGAAGAGCAAAAATTCCGAAAGGGTTTTCCATAAAAATTTCCCAATAATTTTGGTGTCTTTACCATGGGAAAAAGGGATTCTCTATCATTTCTTTAAGGGAAAAAAAAAATTTTTCTTTTTAAAAATTTTTTTAAACTCTGAGACCCAAGTTCAGGATCGGGGGTTAAACCCCTCAAAGGGTTTTAACAAGAAAAAAAAATAAACCAAAAAAATTCTCGGGGGCAATCTGGACACAACAGGGTCGAAAAGATTATCCCAACTGTCTGTGTAAAATTCGCGACAAAATAGTTTCACCCTTTTTCCACCTAAATAAACCTTTATTTTGCTATCGCCCCCTAAAATTCTTCACTAAAGGGTTTATTAGATCAAAAAACTTATGAGCTAACGGGCAGACTTGGCCCTTTAAAAGGAAGTTTCAGTCAAAAAGTAAATGGTCTGCACTTAAGTCAGACTTTCAAAAAGGGGAAGTGGGAAAAAGGGTTTGAAAACACAGATGCTTTAAAATACACACATGAACAAAAATAAAATTGTGTGTTTTTTATTTTGGGGGACCCTTTTAATGAGGGTCCAAATGTCAACAAAAC